TCGAATCCCTCTCCATTTGTGCACGAACAATAACCTATGAGTGATTGCTAAAGATTTGGGTTTCTACTTAAATCATAACGTCGAGGATGAGAAGATCAAAGTTTTGGTCGATGCTCGAAAACCATTGGTTCGACAGAAATCTATCCAATTTCCCTATAGGGTGGAAGTTTCTATTGACTTTGAGTATATAAACTTGAGAAACATTGCTTCCACTCCATGACAATGTCACGTGAAAAAAGAACTTTGTCTACTACTCCAAAGTCAACCCACCTCAACTCAACCATCAGGCATCAATCAAGAACTCACACTCATCAGGCTGGAAGCTTACCATAAGAGAAAGGATGAGAAAAGGGCTATGATTAAGGGTAAGAGACAAGACCAAAAAAGACAGCTCCATCTCCTAAGATGTTCTTCACCACATTACCCTAGATCACGAGATGATTCTCGAGGTTTCAAAGCACCTGGTAGGGTCTCCACACCACACAGAGACCAAGAATGTGATTCTAGAGCTTCCCTCTCGGAACAACCTGATCAAAGATCCAAGGATTGAGTCTCTTAAGAGTATAAGTCCACATCAAGACACCATAATGACTATAACTACCGCCATGAGGACTTTCTCCCCAAACTGTACAAACTAAAAGATCATTAATCTGGGAAACACTCTACTAGGAATCACCCGCGTGATGTCTCTAGAGAGAAGATCTCCACAAGATCTCGAAAGTATTACAATGAGCCGGATGCTTAAGGGGATTTTCTCCATGCCTCTAGCCACATAATACAGAATTCTCCCTATGCGAGGGAGTTGGATCATCGACGCCATGTCTCACACTATGATACACCACTAAGGGAACAAAGGTCTCGAGATGAGGAACGAAGCCAGTATATGCAAATATCTGATCAGGATAAAGTTCAATTTGGCTCTCAATATCGTGATCAAGAAGAGAGCTCAGATCGTGGCTCAAAAATAAAATCGGTTTTTGACAGACTGGTCGAACCAATGTTCCATCGAGAGAAGCAAGCTCTTGCTACTTTCTCTACTCCTGCTCTGGATGATAGTGTGCCTAAGGCCCATCATCTTGAGGATGGGGAATATGGTGGAGATGCTAATATAGGTCCTAAAACAATTTATGAATCTCTTGACCCTCCTTTCCACCATGAAGCGCAACAACTATCTCGAGACAGATTTGTGATGTGATTCGCTCATATAAAATTCTCCTAGACATTTCTACGAACACCTTCCTAGCGTAAAAAAACCATAATTTAGAGATTGATTAGCTATACTTCAATCCTAGCTTTAGGTGCATGTCAAATGAATGATTATCTATAGTTTAAACCTGATACTCCAAAACTCAACTTCTAATCATCCTAATCTACTTAACACACAATCCATAAGATCACTTACTCACAAATGGAAATATTCTAAACATCAAAACAAAGATTAATGATGCAGTAAACATGATTAGAGATATGAAATGATTAAGAAAACTTTAATAAACCATCAAAGATTAAGATCAAACAAGGGAGACAAGTAAATCAAAATGAAAAAGTAAAAATCCTAGACAAAACCAATATAGGATTCTAAATGTGCTCAAACATATTATAGTAAAAGAAGAAGGTATCGTACCAACCCGAGACAAACCATATCAAATTCGGATTTATGCTAAACGTGTGCTCGTGATCGATCCATCAGATCGACCCAACGGAGAGCCTTGGTTGATCCAGCATGTGGCAGGCGAGCCAAAGAGTCTTCTTCTGTTGTAGCTTGGATCAATCTAGTTGATCGACCTGTTCCTTGATCAACCTGAGATGTCCTTACTGATTTCGCCATAACTTTTAAACTGTAACTTGGAATGAGTTGAATCTAACATCCACGTGAGGTTAACACAATCTTCTCACTAAATGTCAGATTAATCTGGGCTCGAAAAGGTCTTCATCGGACATGATCTTCAAGTAGCTTCAAAGATTTTTCTATTTCTGGTATTGCTTGGATCTATCCACTAAATCGACGTGTTCTAGCTGATTGAACAATCCATTATACATTCTCTACATTTTCATTTTTCTGCACTCTCTTTCAAGCTCTTCCAAATTCATTTGGTTCCTCCAACTTCTATTGGGTAAAATGATTATCGAGTAAAATATGTATAGTTTTTGTTAGAAATCAACATTCGTTATTGGAAGAATTATTATACAAAATCAAAGATCTGTTGGTGTTATTCGAATTTGCGATTGTTTTGTATAGAAATTTGGCCCATCCTTGAATAATTTGAAACAACTTTTATTTTTTAATTTCTTAGTCAACATAGAATATAGAAAATACGCAATTACATTACATATTTTTCTTGGTTTATTATTACATTATCTATTTCAAAATTTTATCATTCCCTCTGCCTAC